ATTTGAAAATTAATTCAGGTGCGGAGCGAGTATAATTCTCTATTAATGAAAAAGAAATTGAAAATTTATAATGCGACAAATTTAAAAATATTTAAATATAATAATTTATTAATACATTAATAAATAAAGCGTAATTAAAGTAAGCATGTATGTGAAGATTGTAAAATTGAACATGTAGCATTTATTTAAAAAAGTGAGAAAATATGGCTTGATTATGGGATCAAATATTCTATATTTATTTTGTTAATAGAGCACAAGTTGAAATTAAAAGAAAAAATATCAACAATACATTCCGATTAAAATTGTGTTTCATACAAAAAAAATTAATCAAAGGAAATACGAAGTAATAATAAAAGGAACAACTTCCGTAGTTCCGTTAAATGCTTCACCGTTAATAAGGGGGTAATTGCCCACCTTTCACTCATTGTGAAGCTTTTTGCACAAAAAAATAGTATAAGGGCTTAGATGCCCTTTGATGACAACTTGAAGGGGTTTTTTGCCCCTTATCCCTTTACTAAATAAAGCCACATGTTTTTATAATTCCCATTACACCCTTATTACTAAATAAAGCCACATGTTTTATTATAATTCCCACTTTTCACTACTTCTGCGGCTCACTTGCTCTGGAGGCTCCACGGTGGACGAGGAGCTGCGCTCCATTGTTATGTGGGCTGCTGCAAGGGAGGGTAGTTTAGATATTTGCTTTAATTTAATGGTTGTGGTTAGTAATTAGAGGATTGTGAATAGCATTACCCATAAAATTTTTGTCTCTTGACTCTGTATGACAATACACAACATGGACCTCGAACTAGGCCAAAGCAAATGCCACAATACACAACATGGACAATACACAACATGGACATCAACCTGTGATAAGTGGTCATCTATTATCCACTTACTAACCCTTAAAATGCATGATGATAGAACACTTTGTATGCCTTCTAATTATCTCATTGTTTACCCGTACGTGGAATAATAAGGTAAAAACAATGTGAATTAAATTTATGCAGAAGCAAGATGAATAATAGGAAATTAGGAACAAACTAATTATTTGAAGGGAACATGCAAAAAAAATAGACAACTAAAACAAAAAAGATAGCAGAACAATAAAGGACAAGAGACACATGGTGCATTTTGCAGGAAAGATAGCAGTACAAAGGTTTCTGAAAGTCTTTAGGTGATAGTTTGCAAATTTTCATCATTCAGTATATTTGTTTAATTGTTATTTACTAATTGCTTCAGCAAGTTTGTTTCTCTCTAAGGAATCACTGTTTCATTGATTTCATTGCTTCAATGACATTTATTTGGATTTTTTTCTAATTGAAAAAACGCATGTTTACTTTTATTTTCTCAAATTCCATTATTCTCTCAAGTCCCAATTCTTGTGTTTATACATTTTCGAAAATATGTTTTGTATTTGTAAAAAATTCGTACCTTCATCCTGGAGGTATCAACGTTTAGGACATTGTGGTGATAGAATTCTTTGTACTCTTAGGCAAAATAAATTAATTAGTACTTCTTCAAAATTTGCTCATGATTGTGTTTCTTGTAAGTTGGGTAAATCCCACATACTTCCGTTTTCTGATGTTATTCATGATACCTCTGCACCTTTAGAAATTATTCATTCTGATGTTTGGCAGTCTCCAGTTATTTCTAATCTGGGTTTTAAATATTATGTGTCATTTATTGATGATTTCTCTAGATTTACATGGGTTTATCCCATGCGTAGGAAATCTGAAGTTTTTACACATTTTATTAATTTCCAAAAACTGGTTGAAAATCTATTGAATGCTAAAATTAAAATTTTTCAAAGTGATGGAGGGGGTGAATTTAATAATTCTCTATTTAACACGCATTTTTTAAATTCAGGCATTTTATTTCGAAAACCTTGTCCTCATACTCCTGCTCAAAATGGGGTAGCTGAACGTAAACATAAACATTTACTCGAATTAACTAGGACTTTATTAATTGATGCTTCTATTCCTAGTCATTTTTGGGTAGATGCCCTCTACACCGCCACTTTTATTGTTAATCGTTTACCTACCCCTATTTTACATGGAGTATCTCCATATCAAAAACTATTTAATAAAGTGCCTGATTATAATTTTATGCGTGTCTTTGGTTGTTCTTGTTTTCCAAATTTTATTGCTGCCTCACACAATAAGCTATCACCACGTTCTACGCACTGTGTTTTTCTTGGGTATGCTCCGGGATATAAAGGGTATCGTTGTCTATCTCCTTCCACATGTCGGGTATATGTCAGTCGGGATGTAATTTTTCAAGAAAATAGTTTCCCTTATACTTCCTTAGTTAGTTCACCATCTTCCCTGACATCCACCCTTTCTTCCTCCTGGCTATCTTCTTCCGTTTCTGATAAAAACCAGCACCCCGTGATCCTGCCTGCTCTGCCCAGTCCTTTACACAGTCCTTTAACCCCTATGCCCGGCAGTTCCTCCCCCACTTCCCAAACCAGTCCTTCTACGGCCACATCTCCGTCAAGTACTCCCAGTCCCACACCCTCATTCCCAGACCTTACTGCCATTCCCTCGGTCACTTCCTCCAACCCAGACCTTACTGCCAGCCCGCAACCTTCCTCAACCGGCCCTTCTCCCTCGTTCCAAAATTGTGACCACGGTCCCATCATTTCCCATACCTCGGTTTCTTCCACACAGCCCTCACGTGTCCTAGAAAATGTTCATCCAATGCGTACACGCGCAAAGGATGGCATTTTCAAACCCAAACAAATTTTTACGTTAAGTGCTTTATCTCCCCCGGATGATCCTACTTGTTTTACACAGGCAAATAAGAGTTTTGTTTGGCGGGCTGCCATGGCGGATGAATTTAATGCTTTGATTAATAATAAGACTTGGGATTTGGTACCTTGGGACCCTACTAAAAATGTGGTTGGTTGTAAGTGGATTTATAAGACAAAATATTGTTCTGATGGGTCTGTTGAGCGACATAAAGCTCGACTTGTTGCTCAAGGTTTCAAACAACAGGCTGGTGTTGATTTTACTGAGACATTTAGTCCTGTTGTTAAGCCTACCACTGTTCGTCTTGTTTTATCTATTGCTATTTCTTTGGGTTGGTCTGTTCGTCAATTAGATGTGAAAAATGCATTTTTGCATGGTGTTTTGACTGAGGAGGTTTACATGCGCCAACCTCAGGGTTTTATTCATCCTTCCTATCCTACTCATGTATGTCGCCTTCGTAAGGCCCTTTATGGGCTGAAACAGGCTCCTTGGGCTTGGTTTCATCGATTCAGTGGTTTTTTGTTGAGTCGTGGTTTCTCACAGAGCAGGTCTGATTCATCCATGTTTGTTTATCGTACTACTTCTCAGGTGGTTTATATTCTTTTATATGTGGATGACATTATTATTACAGGCTCTTCTGCTTCATTTGTATCCTCTGTCATTCATACCTTATCTAATGAGTTTGCCATGAAGGATTTAGGGGATGTCCATTATTTTTTGGGTGTCCAGGCCAAACGTACACCCACAGGTTTATTTTTGTCTCAGGCCAAATATATATCTGATCTGTTACATCGTTTTCATCTTCACACTGTCAAACCTGTCTATACCCCTCTACCTTCACGTACTACACTCTCTCTCACAGATGGGGAACTGTTATCTGATGTTACTGAGTATCGTAGTATGGTAGGTGTTCTTCAGTATTTAACTATTACTAGACCTGATATTACTTATGTTGTACACCTTGTGTCTCAGTTTATGCATGCTCCACGTACTACTCACCTTTTGGCTGTTAAGAGGATTTACAGGTATCTGCAGGGTACCAGCACTCATGGCTTATGGTTACGAGCAGATAAAAATATTTCAGTGGTTACGGCCTATTCTGACGCGGATTGGGCAGGCTGTCCAGACAGTTCGCGTTCGACTACAGGTTATGCGGTTTTTCTGGGATCCAATTTAATCTCCTGGCGCTCCAAGAAACAACCGACGGTGTCCAAGTCTTCTACTGAGGCTGAATACAGGGCCATTGCATATACTGTTCAGGATACACTTTTCATTCGGTCTCTTTTGGCTGATATGAGTATTTTTATTTCGGCTCCAATCCATCTTCTTTGTGACAATGTTTCGGCTTCTTATCTAGCGGTTAATCCCATTCAGCATGATCGGAGTAAGCACATTAAAATTGATTACCATTTTGTTCGAGAGCGAGTAGCACATGGAGATCTTGTGGTGAAGCATATTCCTACACAGTTACAGTTAGCTGATATCTTCACCAAGAATTTATCTAGTCAGCGTTTTGAATTTTTACGTTCCAATTTGCACGTGATTTCCCCTGCACAAATTGAGGGGGTGTAATAATGTACTCCCTCCGTCCCAAAATCGTTGGCCAACGTTGACTTGCACGTGGATTAATAAAGTGAAAACTGTGTGGTTAAAATTTGTGCAGAGGAGAGAGAATTAACTTTAGCCACATATTCCTTACTTTAAATGGAAATGGCCAACCTTTTTGGGACGGCCAAAAAAGGAAATTTGGCCAACCATTTTGGGACGGAGGGAGTAATAATTAGGGTTTATTCTGTAATTCTCCATAACTCTGTTTTATTATAAATACAAGGCTATGGCACCCAATAGGGGAAGTCATTATTCCCAATCATATTTTCGTATAGTATCTACACACATTTCTTTGCAATACATCCCAAATTACCCAAAATTATCCTACATCTCATCAAACGACCTTACTATGTTTCTTATACTATGTCTTTCTACTTTAAATAAATTTACTCTAAAACAAAACTCATTTGTTAGAAATGTCTAACAAATGAGTGAAAATACTTTGCAATATTTTATATTGACGTTCCTTCCTTTATATTCTTACGGCAAAGAGTAAAGAGGTCAAACCAAAGATAGGTGAATGACCAAGGGTGAATGACCAAGGGTGAGTTGGGAATATGAATGTCTTTTACCTTATGAATATTTTCTTTAACGGAAGTGTAAGCTTTAATACAAGACATTTTAGAAAGAAATTGAGAACTTAAATAGAGGACAGAGGAAGTACTACGTAATTCCCAATAATTATGAAATTGTTGGTAAAATATTAGGGGATGCATAAAGTATGGGATTATAAATGAATATTTTTTCCAGATTCCCAATAAGAATGTTTAATTTCTGGGGATTAGTGTATTACTCATCTCAGATTCTCAGGAGAATCTAGAATGGCATTGAATTTATTCACTAGCAGATATACAAGATAAAAACTACTAGTGATTCCCAAACCAAACACGCTGCTTGGGTGTTCTCTTGAGCTAAAATGACTGAACTTTCATCTCCTACGATCTGGACAAACATTCGCAAAATGTGATGGATTGCCGCAAATAAAACAGCAACCTATTGTAGGTTCACCCGTTGCTGACACGAATGTAAAACCACCAGTAGCATTAGCAGACCCACCCCTGCTCCTTCCCCTGCCCCGACCTCGTCCACCCCTTCCAGAATTAGACCCTAAGCTTCCTCTCGCACTTTCTGATGCCCCTCCTCTAGTTAGGCCATCTTCCCATCTGCATTACAAGTAAACAAAAAAGTAACAATTACCTAAAATGGTCCATTCAGGCTAGCCTTTTTACATCAGACTCAGTGTCTCCAAGACTCCAACCACATTACTCAAGGTAGGGTAGTGATGTCAAAAAAGAACATAACTACTAAGTAAGCTTCGCATTCATTTCTAATTACTACTCCACAACTCCAGAAGTAGTCAGTCCATCCTCCAAGGATTGGCTAATTTCGATTATGAACAAATCAATAACACCTCATTTCCGCATATGTGTGTGTCTATGTTACAAGAACGGGACCGGACCGGGCGGATCGACCCGGAACCTGGCGACCCAGCACCCAGACTGGTCTGGTTGTCTATTAACCCGTAAATACACCAAAACCCGGATTTACCCAGCAACCCAGCATGACCCGGCCAAACTCGGTAAACCTGGAAAATGTGGGGAAAACCGGATGGCTCTTAAAATTTACGGCAGGACTGCAGGAGGGGGTTGAACTCACTTACTCACGTCCCAATGTGAGAAAGTCTGAAGTGGAATCCACTGAGCAACACATTTCCATTGTGATACCTTGGTCTTTAGGCATACTAATAGACTAATAGTCTAATACTGTTAGTATGTTGTAACTTACGATACTAATTCTAAGTTTTAATTACCCAAAAAGATAGGCCAATTTGACTTTTTTTGGTCAATAATGGTCAAGTTTGATCAATGATATCTTTTAATACAAAATTATCTAAAATATGAAAATCATATGAGTTTGGGACAAGAGAAGGTGGCACGGTTATTAATAAATAGTGGGTTTGTGTGGTTGATATTGAATTGATAAAGTAAGAATAAAGTAAGAATGATTTAGAACCACACAAATTTTACCAAATAAGGTATGAGACAATCTTAGTGGGACGGACCGAAAAGGTAAAATGGGACAATCATAGCGGGCGGGACGAGGGAGTATTATGAAAAATCTTTACCTTTTATTTTAATTCTATATATTATAATATTTATATTAAGATACTCTCTATCCCAAAATAAATGTCTTGTTTCCTTTTGAACATGTTTTAAGAAAGTGGTTGAAAAGGTAAAAGTTGTAGTTGAAATTTGAGTAGGAAAAGGTGAATTGATATGAGCCACATATTATTGCCAAAAGAGGAAACAAGACAATTATTTTGGGACGGACCGAAAAGGAAAGTAGGACATTTATTTCGGGACGGAGGGAGTATATAATAACTAATAAACGTTGATTGGGTTTTGCCGGCGTTGACCGGGTTGACCAGCCGGGTCCGGGCTGACCCGTGACCCAATCATTGGTCCAGGTCGATCACCGGTCCGGTTCTCGTAACATAGGTGTGTGTGTTCGTAATGAATGTATCTCAGTATTAGTGTATTACTTGCATCCACTATCTGTGCTCCAAGAGCAACAACAACACCAAGCCTGTAGTCCCAAAAGATTTTGGGGTTGGCTAATATGAATCGATACATGATATCGTAACCATAGCGATATTCATATTTTGATTCATGTCATGCGATGTGATTAGGTGATACGGTTGGCTATTACATGCCTACCACATCACACTCCTCCTTTATCCTGGCTTGGGACAGGCATGATACCAAAAATGATCTCATGGCGGAGTCTATGTGCTCCAAGAGCATACGGAGAAAATGCACGTAAAACTTAACGACTTAACTGTATTGACCATCCTTTCTTAATCTGTGTTGAGAAAAAGAAAGTGGACTATCTTAGATAAGAGAGTATATTATTTTAGTTAGATGAGAGCATAAAAAAGTATATATGAGATGATCATACACAAAAAAGTTGCACTCTCTGGACTGGCAAGAATAGAACTTTCTGCCCCTATTGTTTGCAGTATTGGCAGTTCGTAGAGCACATAGAACACCACATGAGGTACAAGGAACAGATGCTTCTCCTATAAAAAATAAAAGAATGTTAGATATTTTGAGCCTCTGCTCATCATTCTGCTCAACTAAATTTGACAATTTTGTATTATTATTTTTTACTACATTTTTGTATTATTATTATAAATCAAAAAAGATCTAGCTGGGCAAACAAACCATTTTGTCTGTTAACGTCACTGGCAGGCTGGGCTGAACGTGAGCGAGATGACTGTGAGGGACAGTTATTTGAAGAATGCCCTGTTTGCCTACAGTGTAAACAAGCACCCTGAGATCTAGGATTGCTTCCTTGGGCACTGGCAGAAGGTGTTGTATGGCCTCCTCTGGCTGTGAAAAGAACCATAACAATGGTGAACACATGCAATTACTTACTGACACCAATTGAGATGCTAAAACGTAAATGATATCCTCTCGATAGAGGTTCTTGCCCAGACAAAACCTTAATTTAGTGGTCTGCAAATCATTCACAAATTACATAATTTTTTTTTAAAGAAATTACATAAGAAGTTAAGAACTACTCGTAATAATGTTGGTTTGGAGAAAAAGTTTTGTTTCGCCGTACGTTGACAATATTTAATGCTATTTTTACATTTTTGTCATTCTTTGAGACCCCCATGTAAAATTAATCTTCAATAATAACTAGGAAAAATTGATTGTAATAATCCCAACTATTGGCGGTCCGCTTATAATAATCCCAACTATCGATTATCTCAGAATAATCCCAACTTTAGTGACCTTCCGCCAATAATGGTCCATGACCAGATATGACCTGCTATAACAAGTGAATTTTAAATTGAAATAAAGCGTAAAAATTAAAAGTTGAATTATTTATAGGGATTACTTGTTATATTTCTTCTCATCCACTTTAGAAACTATAGAAATTTATTTATAGCCGGTCATGTCGGACCATTATTGGCGGAAGGTCACTAAAGTTGGGATTATTCTGAGATAATCGATAGTTGGGATTATTATAAGCGGACCGCCAATAGTTGGGATTATTACAATCAATTTTTCCTAATAACTAAATGCTAGTAAAGTCATAAAGTGCAATATTGTAAGTTTTCTCTCCATATAAATAACTTCTTAATCTACTCAACTTCCTTTGAAAAGATGAGCCTAAGAAAGTACATATTAACTAGTAGCAAATTGACATGATACTCCTCAAGAATACAGTATAACTCAATTTGATTATAATAAACTTTTTGCTAAAAACAAACAAACAATTGAAGTATCAATTGCAATGGTACTTCAATTGCAATTATAAAACTAGAAAAGTCAGTTACGTCTAGTGTTGTGAAAGGCGATTCCAGATTCAAATTATGACGATTCAAATAATTCAAGCAAGAATGAAAATGTATATTTAGGTTCAATTAACTTCCGATTTTATATATGAATATAGGAATACTAGATTCTAATAATAATCGAACATTAAATATAATATGGAGAAATGGCTTTATAGTCTAAAAATAGATTACATTAATAACCCTGTGTTATTTTTAATAAAGTAAAACATTTTAGCGAATAGTGATTAATATAAAATAAGTGATAACATCCAATATAAAATCCCATCATACTTGATAATTAAAAATGTATTGAGATAGCATCAAATTCCATGGACTTCCGTGTTATTGTTGTTGGACATGCATAGTTGATGAGTTTCTACGAAAATTAAAAAGGCTATACACTTTATTTTTGGAAATATATAACAAAAACTTAAGCGTACATATTAAAAAGTATATACACCCTATTATCTTAATAAAATATAGGCATACTATGTTCAACATTTACAAGTCACCGACATGCATGCATATACACTAAGAAATACATATATTCCATGGATCCAAAAAAGGTTCACATGTGAAATTTTGTTTTTGTTAATAAAGAAGTCTTAATCAGCAAAAGAATCTAATTATATTAATCTTAAATATGTTTTTAGTCCATACAAATATAATGCATTTTATTTTACATCCTTGAGAAATTATTTATTTGTTTTTCATCATTGTAATTCATGTTGCTTTTCTTTAGTCCTTCACCGATCATAACAAACTCCATTTGATGAGGAAACAACTTTGATTAATGGCTTTCCTCTCAATCTTTGTCATGTGATTCAAATAATACGTAATTTTACTATAGGTCGTCAAAATCTATTTAGAAAATGTGAAGGATTAGTTTTACAATGCTTTAACTCTCAAATTAGCCTCAAAAAATTATAAAAAAGATCACTTTAAAAGTTTCCAGTAGATATGCAATCGACATTATTTTTTTCCTAAATGGTGTGATCTCGGAATTACAGATGAACAAAAAGAAATTAATGCATATTATAGATATGAATAACACAAAAACACTTTTTTCATGGATCTAAAACAACATGTGTAATATTTACAGGGACTAAAAATGTACTCCCTCCGTCCCATTTTACCTGTCTTACTTTCCTTTTTGGGTTGTCCCAAAATAAGTGTCAGCTTTTCCTTTTTGGAAAGAAATATGTGGTTCACAACCTTTCCCTTTACTATACTCAAATCTCAACCACAACTTTTACCTTTTCAACAACTTTATTCAAAACTGTGCCAAAACCAAAGGAGACACATAAAATACGGAGGTAGTATGTATTAAGAATATATACCTAAAACTGATTATTCCCAAATTCCAATAGTTGTGTATTTAACATTTAAGAGATCAACAGATGAAAATTCTTTTTAGGATGGACATAATTAGTTAAACAAAATCAAGTATGAGCATTTTTAATACAAAATTCGAATCAAATCAGATATATTCTAATAAATTAGCCAAATTGAAGATGTTCTTTTTATTCAATATTGCTGTAAGAAATCAAGTATTAAATAAATGTGGCTTTTAATGCTGTCAACAATAAACAGATTTGAATCGAATGACTAGAAACCTGGTCTGCTTTAATTATTAAAATTAAAACCCTAGTACTAGTAATATCCAGAGTTGACTGCTCCTAATATAAAATTGCTAGAAACTATGAAAACATATGTCTGAATGCAGTACTATTTAAACAGGTCAAAATCGCATACCAGGGGTGGTGAAACTATTCCTGGAACCTGTTCCACAGATTTCCACTAGTTGCCTCAGAGTATCATCACAACCACCTACACAACCTGCCATGAAATAGACACTCAACATAAAAATGCATCATGCGTCAATGCGTGGATCCTAAAAATTGGTACTGCGACGCGAAGATTAAAAAAATGTTACAGAAACTCTTGTGTATGGTTTTACTTGGGAAAAAAGCAAAGTGTCATGTTTACTAAAGTTTAGACTTCTTTCTTTGTCTTCATATAACAGAAATTTGTAAATGAAATGTGTTTGAACAAAAGCCCAAATTATGTATTGAATCTGAACCAATTTTTTATTTTCCCTCGCACTACCTTCAAATCGAAATTTCCCATCTACTTTCCTCCCTTTTTCTTTCCTTGGCATTTTCCCAGTTCTAATGGGACCCTCAAAAGAGATTACTTCATTAAATGAAGACGTTTTTGACATAGCATAGAGCTACATTCTTTCTTAAAGCCAGTCCTGAACAACAAACAAAAAGGATGGGCTTTACTCCTGTGGGATTTGAGATGTAAATCGGCCAAATGAAGGCATTGCCCTATAGGTGCCAATACCATTTTTTTCAGATTAGTACTATGCCATATTAGGTTAAGGACATTAATGTTACTCTATATTAGGCGATAAGTGAGTGCCAGAATGTTTTCCTTACATTTACTATTATTCGGAAAGTAATAAGTGAATAACTAACTACCTACTCTAGCACATGAACCAATTTAGCCTTGTTAACTGTTTTTCTAGAAACCCCTAACAATGGCATTATTCCCAGTGACTTTCTGAGTTCTATTTTTCCTTCCATAACAGTGAAACAAATAGAGAATGTCACCCTGTTGGAAAACCAGAACAAATCTGTTCAGCATTCAGAAATCAGAACTTTTCAGCATTCAAACTTATTGATATGTACAGAGAAGGGATTTAAAGAAAGGTAATGTTCATCCAAAAATGAAAAATATATACCAAATGGGTAAAATGGGTTCCACTTTGGCTCTTGGGATATAACAAATGAAAGGGGCACCCATTCACCCACGTTTATACAAAGTTCTAGCTTACCAAAATGCTCAGCATCAAAATCAGGTGGTATTTCCAAACGTCGAAATTTAAATCGAATCTTAAATACAGGCCCTGAAAGACATACTAACATCAGTAATAAACTAATAACAAATTTTGAAGCAAAAAAAATAATAAATGTTACAGACATAAACCTGGAGCACAGATACTGCATATATCTTGGCTTACATCTGCTTCTAATATGCATCCTGGTAGCCAGACTGCATTTCTACACTGAATAGACATACTCAAAAGGTTACTCAGCTGGACAAGATAAAAGCTAGTTTTCATGAACGAGGTGAAGAAACATGTATGATTAAGACAAGGAAGTTGGCTTGTTGCAATATGAAACGTGGGAATGAAACATATCATGTGTAAATATTATGGAGGACAGGAGGACGGAATTGGCTTCTCTATCTGTCTCAAAAGACAGGCAAAATGCTAGTCATTTCGTCATACCGTTTGTTCTGAAATAGTAGTACTAAAGTTTTTGGTCGGTGATGGGATTGAAGTGATGACAGGAAATATGTGGGTTCTAAGTGTTACCTAAAGAACAAATACTAAACATATATTGAGTTAAGGCCTGTGAAGCACAGAAACTACCTGCGGCTCACGTTTCCCCCGTTTTAGAAACTCGTAAACTTCAAACTCTTGTTTCAATGCCACTTCTGTTACTAAGTAGAATTGGGAAATCCGTTTCCCTAAATTATTAGCTTTATAGGAACCTTGGGTTTCCAATTCTTTTCTTTTTTAAGAGATCCTATATGGAAAATAGTGTCTTTAAAAAAAATAGTGAATTATTGTGATATTTTCCATCATTTGCAATGGAGCCAAAGACTCACTATTTTTTGGCTTGAAAATATGATGGAATAAAGCAAAATGGCTCACTAAATTGTCTGCGCTTCTTTGTTATGAAGCTGCAGTCAGTCCATGCATTTTGGACGCGATTTTCACTATGGGTCATCCGGAAACAGTCTCTCTGTGCTTTAGAACAGGGGTAAGACTGCGTACATCCGACCCCCCCTTACCCCACCGTAGGTCGGAGCCTTTGCGGCACTGGGGTAATGCTGATGATGAGTGAATTATTGTGATAATTCTTCCTAGATACATTGCGATGTTTCATAAGCAATGCATTGCTAGAAATGTATTGCACTTTATGTTTAATTATGTATTAATATGTAATGATTTCTTAATATGAGCATGCAGAATGTTCTTATTAAACAAGTTATATGAAAAAATGTGCATATATAAATGAAAAACCTGTGTACATATGAAAAAGAATGAGGAAGCGGTCCAGCTCAACTGGCGCCGACTCACTCTCCCATACGGGAGGTCTCGGGTTCGAAATTCCATTAAGGGAGTTTCAGACCTGTTTACCCCAGCCTCCTTCCCCCTGACCCCCCTGGGGCAAAAAAAATTATAAATATATCCTTATATTTTTTAATATTTACGCGTTTCCCCCACATTTTTATCCTATATTTTTCAGAAATCATGTTTCCTACATTTCCTATTTCGTGTTTCCATGCTACTTAGACAATAACTGCTTCTAATATCTACCGTGGCAGCCTGCTGCATTTCTACACTGATGGGCATACTCAAAAGGTTACTTAGTGGGACCAGACACTGGCTAATGCATGAAAAGGAGAGAATACAAGTATGATTGTGACAGAAATGTTGCCAATTTGACATGTTGGCATGCTGCAACATGAAGGCGAATTGGCTTCTCTGCCTGTCTCCAGACACAGGCAACAAACCTGTTTTTCTTCCCGCCCTCTGATCTCAAATAGGACGGTACTCAGCTGATGATGAAATTGAGGTGTGGAGTCAGGAAAAAAATGAGGTCCAAGTGTGAAGTCAGAAAAAACTTGGCCACCCGGGTTTATATTTAACACTCCAAGGAATCAGGCACCAACCGCACCATGCCTGTGTCGGGAGGAAGGCAGAGAAACCATATCCAAAGAGGATAGATTATTGTGAAGATTGGTATCTTTAGAGTTCCACTTATTTCCTAAAATCTTTAGAATGAATTGTTAACATCTTCTTTATCATATGGAGGCAGCATAACATGTGCTGATGTGCACCTACTTGTGGAAAACCCAGGCAGCCAACCATGAACTTCCCGTCCTGCATCAAACCAAAGAAACATATCATAAAATGTAATGAAGGCAAATATATCATCAAACCAAAGACTATTCAAAAATTCAAATGCAAAATGGGAGAGACTGTCAAATAGAATAACTAAAAACTTAACTGGCAAGGCTCCAAATTATCACAAATACATAAAATACATCCAAACTGAAGTGACTAAAATCAAGTAAAGCATCAAAATTTGGTCCGAAGTCCTAACAGCAGAGGCTGAAGGCAAATATGAGAGTACAAGCTCTCCCGCATTATGGGCTTAGTCCCAAATGATTTTCATTACAACAACAACAACATTCAAGCCTTAGTCCCAAATGATTTTGGGGTCTCCTAACATGAACTCATACATGATATTGGAGCGAAAAAGAAAAGAGAGATAAACGACCAGTGTTAGTTTCATTGAGACAGAAAAACAATAGAATTGTTATAAGTTTCATTTCTCATAGATCACTATATGACAAAAAACGACCCCACAAACCAGTGGTGTTATAAGAGTCCACGAAGAATAGTTATCAATTACCGGTTTTTGTCTAAGAACCATGTCTGATTCCTGACAAAGTGGACATTTACGAACAACAGATCCAGCTCTGGGTGGCTCACCAACATTGGGTCTGTTTGATCTGGATAAGCAGAGAAAATAAAATAAAACTCAAAACTGGGAAGCAGACTGTTAATCACAAAAATTAGTGAAGACACACCTGTCAAAGAACACAGCCATGGCCTCGAGGAGCTTTCCTTTTTTTACTCTGGCCTGTTAAAGATAGAAATGAATCATATATATAAGTGCTGTTGCAATGAGCTAAATTACAAAACAAGCAAATAAAAGATTCATGCTTCAAACCAGCACATATTTGAAAAAAAAAAATAATATGGATCCTTTACTTCAGAAAATTAAATGGCTGAAAAAGCTTCAATATACAAAGGTGCTACGAAGAGACAGCTTAGACAAGTAACAAATCAAGATGAAAATAACTATTGACATACATATACAGCATCCATCATTGTGATGTTTCAGAAGTTTTGAAAAACTCATTTATGACAAGTAATAAATCATTGGCTAGCTCATATTACCTGTTTTTCCTGAGGTCTTTCCAACTATAATATAAAAACCCTAAACTAACTTTACTGTCAGTTTAGATAATGCAGATGGACTCATGGTCTTAGAGGGAGGGGGCAGGTAACAGTCTAGAACCTCTTGTTGTGACTTGCAACTTGCAAGTACTATGAATACAGAATTCCTTGTGCTTATATATTAGAGGTCTGATACATTCAACACCGGTAATCTTAAACATGAATTGAGAAAGAGAAGCAAGATCAGGAAAATATATCACTAGCAGGCAAAAGAAAATGTCTGGAGTCTGGACACTTGTGCATGGATGTTGAGTACTGTGGATAGAGACTCTTTATGCATATAAATTATAGATTTGCTACATCAAAGAATAATGATAACCATAAAAGCATGTTCAGACTGTGAAGCATAACAAACAATATTGATCACTGGCATACAGAAAATCGATTGAGCACTGCAACATTTAAATGTTTAGCTTCAGTGTAAACTATGCACACTATTTGTATACATATATAATCCTACTGTGAATCTGTGATTTTACAATTTAAGTGGACAAGAAATTAGCACCCTACTTCAACCCCATAAAAAGAAAGTTTGGATATATTCATATAGTATCCCCTCATGAAAGGAAATTGTTCCCATATAATATCATATCAAAATATCAAACTGATCTTCTTAACCAAATGCCGAAGCAAGAATGTCGATAACAAATTGAGCATGGACATACATCTATAAAGCAAGCTTTCATTTGCTGTAAACAGTTCTCCAAAACCTCAGCTTTTCCTTTTGTGCCATTGCTAACTTCTCTCATATCACGTTCCATCGCTGCACGGAGATATGGTTTCCCCAGTTCATAACTGAAGGGAAAGAGAAAGTTCAGTCCGTCATGTCAGTGATCATATAGTAAATTACGCTGATTCAGTTATTCTCAGCATCACATACCATTAATAAGAGGTAAAAACCTAGAAGACAGTCTGGTCTTTCGTTATCAAGTTTAAGACTGACTTTTTGGTAAATTTACACATGCTTAATTATAGCAAAAAGGCTCTTCACAAGAATTACATGTCTATCATGCTATCACACTACCAAATAGAGAAAAAAGAGGTGGAAAATCAACTAGAAAATAAAGAACTGCATTAACAGATAAGCTCTTACTTTAGGGTGCATCGGCAGAAGAAACTCTAATGTATTACATGTGGTAAGAACCTTTCTTACTCTAAGATCTCTAGTCTAGACTCTAGAGCCATATAATGCAACCTTAACTCTGGAAGTGAAACTAAATACTTCAACAAGAGTACAAGACCATTAAGTCATAAAAGGTTCATTATATTGGAAATATTGTCACGAATTGCACATGTTACATGCTGCATGAAACTTTACCCGCTACAGACTACAGAGAAGTGTTTAAAAGATAATACGAATGAAAGGAGACTTAAAGATGCAAGATATTAAGCTTTATACACAAGACCAGATGATATAAAGGGGTAAGTTATTATGTAGCACAGGATGATACCAGCATACCACATTGGTGTACAATACTACAATTAAATAGATCACCATTGGCACTTAAGAAATCACAATTTTCATTCTTACATATGATGCAAATGAAACAGCCTTTAAAATTTAAAAAGGGAAAAAGTTGTAATTCTAACCCCATATCATCATATCCCATTACCAGTGCTTCCCCCTGCAAAACAAATAGTGATCATTTTATTTAACTTGTATAGCAGCACTTAAATTAAACAAAGTATATGTGTACTCCCTATGTCCATTATAACTTTGCCAAAGTTGACTAGCACGTAGAATAGTAAAGTAAAAACTGTGTGGTTGAGGTTTAGGCAAAGGAGAGACTTAACAAGAACCACAAATTCTTTATTTAAAAGGGACAGTAGCAAAGTTAGTAAGACTACCAAAAAAGAAAAGGTGGCGAGTTATAAGGGACGGAGGGAATAAGAAATAACAAAATCACAAGATGCTGCTATCAAGTACCTAAATGGAACACTTAAATAAAAACAACAATAACTGAGCACTAAATATAAGGATAGCACTAGCAATCAAGATCCAACTTGTATGAAACCGGTCTTGCCGAAATGTTTGATAATCCACACTGGATACGGAAAAACTAAACACCCAAAATTCGCCTTCCAAATATAAGTATATAATCAATTGTTTAGTGACAAAGCTTGAAGGCACCAAGCAAATACTGTTAGAAAAGCCTCTTGCATGCATGACCTACTGACATATTTACCAGATACACTAGTGGATTTTCCAAAAAATGCTAGCAGAGTTTCTAAACGCTCCAAGGAGGTGTAATTTGGTCCCCTAAAGTTTTACTTAAATACCTAAGGTATAAATAAAACTGTTGCTTCTTTTATAGCTGAATTGTCAATTTAGAATATCAGATTGAAGATCAACGATTACATTTCACATTTGAATCTGAACAAGGTCAACAAGCATGAAAAAGAGAGATATGACCTCTCCATGGGTACAGTTCTTCATTAGTCCAAAAAGAAACAATTTACTCATGACATCAGAGATCAGACATCGTAGTTAGTCACTTGTTGTACATAAAATAAAAGCTTAGAGGAAGACAAGAGAAAACAAAACAGAAATGCAAAAAGCACAAACAATGAGAGTAACCAATATAAGATAGGAGCAGCTTACAAGTTTGGTTGGTGAGAAACGGGTGTTTGCGTCTTTGGTCACATAAAATCGATCAAGCAATTTTTTTATGTGATCATGCATAGTTGCATCTGTGCCAATGCCTGCCTATCAAAATGAAGAATCAGTAGAACAGAATAAAGTATCAGCAGCCATCTGGCAACTCAAAATAGAACAAATGAAACAACATATGTATCACATTTTTCAAATAGTAAGGCACCTTAATTCTTACCTTGTCCATACAACTTAGAAGATCAGCCTCACTTAAAAGTGGAGGAGGTCGTGTAACTCCTGAATCAAGAGTCAATGTTGTTGGGGTAAACTGCAAATTTGCCATCAGCAATCAGGAAATATGATATTTCGATATACTCTGTATATATTTATTCAGATAAATTTATTAACAATTGAAAATGTAGTAAATCTAAAACTGCACAAGTTAGTTGGTATAAATCCTGATCCCATCTTCTCTTTCATAATTGGACCACATGATAATTTGACAACAAACTTGTACAAGTATATGATGACAAACCTGCTGCCCATAAGTGTATGTTGGAATTACTGAATCTCCCCATGATTCAAATCTGTAGACATCCAAGTAGTTTTTCTGCACAACATGACATCTCATAATCATTGTTTTGTCCTTGATAAGAATTCCAGGTCAGCAGAAATTTGAACTCCATTGTGTATTAGACTAACATGCAATGCAGGTAGTCAAGTTGTACTTGTAAGTTATATCAGTTCAGATGCCAAAAGTTTAAAGAATATTATTGACAGATGCTTTATAAAAAAATCTTTTACCCCTTAAATGCATGTTAATCTAATAAACAAATACAGTTAAACTTGCTAAAAGCAAGTTTAACTGCAGTTAAAAGCATATTTTCCATAAAAACTTGCTCGTCGCTTAAATGCATGAAGTCGCACGTAAAAACAGCACATGTGTAACCCCCAGAAAAAAGAGATTGAAGCAGTCACAATATCACCTTTCCCTTTCTTTTTCGTGGAGGCATTTTCAGAAACTAATAATGCATGTTGAGATTTACATATATTTCTCCAATCCATTAAAAAATATACAAAGAAATAATAGAATGTAATTCTGACATTCATAGTCATAAATGGCCCAAGCATGGCTGGGCTGTGAAACAAGTTTGATAGTCAAAAACAATATCTGTAGTGCAACCATGCAAAAGATATGTATTCCTGGTGCAATCAGAAACTCACAGCAATTATTGTTCTCCCACATGTAGAAAATTGTTCACCAGCGATATCAATCTCAACTATGGTCTCAGCTCCTTTGGCGGGTTGAGAGACGCATGCCAGAAAATGGCGAACGACTAATTCATACACTCTCTGCATAAGATTTTAGTCACTAGTAGAAATGATATTATCCAGATCAGAACATGAAACTTCAATGCAACTCAAATTCTGCTTTGACCTATGTAACAAGTTGTGATACGACTATATGAGTATACTAACATGGTGATCCTGACTCCATCCTGATTCTCCAGCAGAAAATTTAGTTGGGTGAATCGGAGGATGGGCCTTGTCATCATTCACTCCACCTCTAGGGTCTCTCCATAGTCCTGAATCACGGTCCAACAAGCGCTGAGCATAAGGGCCCCATACGGGGTGGCCTTCTTGCTCTCGCACAGTTCCCTGCATAAAAAAAGAACGATGTAGCACACAGACTATTTCAACATTTCCGCATTTTGTCCTCGACTATTTCACAGGTATTATAGCAGTGCAAAACTAAATCCCCCCTGTTACAAAAACATCAGTCACAGAATGGCTGAACTCTGCCTGCGTTTATACAGTGAATAGTCAGCTTTTCATGATAGCAGATTTACTCTCCCGAATCAATTTGAACAGAGAAGTTTATTTCAAACTCTCTTCATTTATTCATTTGGTTGAAGGGTTAGCACTCTGAGACAAACTATGAGTATATGATTCGGTAAATAGCAACTTACGGGCAAGTTGGCAATTCCATCAGCAGAGAACTTATCAGTCTCAGTGCGTGGATAGCTAATAAAACCTTGTTGGTATAGATCTTCAGCCACCTAAGAAATAGGGAGAATAACAATTAAATTTCCTCATATTAGTATTATTACCATGTAGCTCAACAAAATCAAGAGTAACAGCAAGAGTCATTCATAATCCCGATGAATGTAGTCCAATGAAAACATAATTACATAAGTATCAAAATCAACCCAGCATTGTTGAAGCTCTACGCAATATTGCAATAACTCAGTGCTTAGCTTCAAAACTAACCTTCATAGTTTGTGCAGAACTCATTCTGAAATATCTTGATGCACGCTTCTCAAGCTCAATGGTGTTTAATGGATGCGGAGGATATTTCAGCTTCTCCTGCAGCCTAACTTTAGTAACCTGTCCAAATCATAATGCCTGCAATTAGTTAATTGACTCATTGTGTCTCCTAAATTAGAGTGAAAGAGCATTAACTAAAATAAAGGCTTCATTAGACTCACGGTTGCTGTGGGTTCTTGGACACACATTTCATAAATAATTACTGCACATGTATAATCAAACAAGTTCCCACGCCTGCAATGTCAAAGCCAGTAGTTAGGTAGTGTGATTGATAATTAAGAATATGGTCTTATGTTAATAGTAGCAAGTGCAAAAATTACATCCAATTAAAGCTAGCAGTGCCCTCATCTGAAGTGTGAGTACAATTTATTGCCCAGAATTCTTCGGGTTCATGAGCTTGTATTTCCCAGTATCGCTCAACCACAAAACCGAGAGTAGGGAACTGCAGTACATAAGTAATTTGGACTTCACACATTCATAAAATTTTAATAGTTATTATGGAGTAAATGTACCAATTATTTTACCATGTTGTGTTGTGAAGGCTCTAGATAAAGTTTTGTAAAAGACGTAAATTGTACAAGCGATGTGTTACCTGACAAGGGCCATAACTCAGGACAAGATTTCTGTCATCTGGAGCAAAATCCATGACAAATGCATCTTTTAAGAGCATTGTCTGAAATCTTGTGAAAGAAGCCCCTATACGAAGATCTATCTCCTGCAAAGATCATATATCAGACTGAGCAATTATCAAATAATCATACTGAATACATACCAGTGATACCACTGAATGCATGACCAATTGTCATGAAAAATACTGAAACTGAGCACAACATATATCACAGCTCTGGAACCATTCTTTAATTACTGTCTCTAATCCTAAAAGACTAAACATTTATTATGCTAGACAAGAAGTAGAAAAAGAAATAGCTTCATGAAACCCCCTGTACGTACTCACTTGTCTCACATCAACAGCATCAGCTAACAATTGATTGGGTTGTTCAAGCCCTTCCATAGCCCGGCGAATTTCTCTGATGAACCCAGAACAATGTCAGGTATGGAAAGCCTAGAGTAAGGTAGTAAATCTCTGCCAGCTAGCTAGCAACATGAACCTGTCAATCAGAGCAGAGAAGCGAGCCCTCAGCACAATAAGGTTACGGTTAGCTTGTTTGCATACTTCCAACACCTCAAATGCAATATTTTCCCCTTCCCTATCACAATCAAGCCACAGTATAAGCCATTGGCATCTCCTAGACTCTTCCTCCAGTGTCCTTCTAATATCTAGCTTATCCTGCAAGTACCGGCAATATGATAAAAAATATATGCAATCCAGATTCTAGGGTAGAATAAGCACCCTCATTCACCGGACATACAGAAATGACAACTATCTCTATCCATCAAATGAAACAACATTTAACAAATCAAATTGGACAAGTATTCTGATGGAGGTAAGTTTTGAAGTACCTCTGGCACATGTTTACGGACGGGGGCGCTGTAGAGATCGACGGGGTCGCATGAGTGCCATTTGCGATATCTCTCATCGAATTCGAGCTCCATGAGGTGCCCCGTGACAGAGGTGAATAGCATCTGGCAGGGCTGGTTTTGGATGGTGTAATTAAACTCAAATATTCGGTTGTATACGGATCGTCCATTCCTCGACCTCATTTGGCTATTTGACAGTATCCCTGCGACCGCCTTGGCTACAGAAGGTTTCTCCGCCACATTCAGCACCGTTACGACCATGGCGCCGCTGCAGCTAGACTGTCCCCACCCTCTCCGATATGTGTCTAACTCGGCTGGTTCGAAATTGGGGCACTAACTTAGTTTCCCGCCATGCGAACTGAATAGAGTAAACGAACGAATATAATGGAATCAAATCAATTGATCAACAGTGAATAGGTAGTCAGTCCTCACTTCCACACAGGGGTGGAGAAAAAAATTCAATATGTTGATATTTTAAACTCTGACCCCTGCAATGTAAAATTTTTAAGAATCGGCCCCCTTAATTGTAGATTTCTGACTTCGCCACTGCTTCCACACTTCACAGTAGATAGTGAAGTATCAAAAATGTGATGTTAATTTTTTTCCCCCACAAATGCCAAGATATTCCATTTGATATCTCATTTGTATATCACCCTCTATATTTGTGGTTCACAAAAACACTTCCATAAAATGAAGCGATTGATTTAATGTGTTAGACTTTTGTAAACCACTTATCCAAATGATGATGAACCACAAACATATGGATGATGTACAAATAATTGATCCAAATGGGTACCTCTAGCAAAATTCTTTTTTTTTTGCTTGTTAAATCGTAAAATAATTGATAAAGAAACATCATAATAAAAAATAATGTTGTAGTTTTTTTTCTGGTTGAATCTATTATAAAGAAACATTTTAATATTTTTTATTACGTATTAATTCTATCAACAAATATATTTTTAAAAATAATTTACTTACATTTGTGCATGTTCAATTCCAGCCAGCACTTCACAATTTCAATAGATTCAGTCAGTTCAACTAATTTCAGTGATATCAAACACACACTCAAGCTAAAAACTACTAGAAAAGATATACAAGTAATTCACGTCCATATAGTCATTTCATTATTCATTTACACTTAACAAGTTATTCAATTATGAGTTTTTTTATAAATATTACAAAAGTGAAACTTATTTACACAAATGTGATTATTAGTTACTCCAATATAGTGTCATAGTAACTCAAGTTTAAAATTTAAACATAAGTTACTATGATTTCATTACTACTCAAGTCATAACACATTTTTGTAAACAACCTTCATTTCAGTCATAAATATGTAATTATTTCTTCAATTATTCCAATTGTTTCGTGTGAATAGAATGTGGTACTTTAATCCTAAAATTTGCCTTGATCAAATTGATCAAGTATTCATAAATGAAATTTACACCATTACATTATCCTAAGGAGTTTTTAGATAGGTTTGATTTGTCTATTTGAAACGTATTTACCCTACAAGCAAATGGACTTTCTGTGACAAACAAAAAGTGTCAAGAAAAATAGTGAAATTGTCAAGATAGACCCTTTGGGGGATTTGCCAACACACACAAAAAGTGTCACTAGGAACGGTGTTAGGAAAAACCTTTCTTGACACTCAAACACGTGTTGGCAAATCCTTTAACACTTTTATTGACACAAAAGTGTGTCAAGAAATTTTCTCAAGTCCTCAATATTTTTATGGTGACACACAAATGTCAAAGAAATTCATGTTTCCTTATTTTTGTGTCCTGGTATTAATAATAAGAATGTGTTCCCCGGAAAATCTCTTCACATTGAAACTCGAAAGTCATTCCAAACTATTTAAAATACTGCATAAGAATAAAGTTTACAAGAATAGTTTGTAGCTAAAAACATTCAAATCAGAGTAAGAAGTCCCATGACAACAATTTACTAAATCTCTAAGTAGCTCCTGATGATGATGGCTTCCCGAGTTCCTGATGATGATCTATCATTTGTAGTGGAAGGTTTACCGCCAATCATCTACAATATATATGATAAGGTAGAATTTAGGGAAATTTACTAGGATATGACTAAAAGTCAATGAATTTCTCAATCTATGACCTAACTAGTTTTTAGACTTTTATATGACCGAAAATCCAAGGAAAAAAATAAATCTCTTTTTTATTGAAAGGTTGAATGACGAAAATACCCTTATTTAAAATATGTGTATTTTGCACTAATTTTGTTCAATTAAAATTATTTCACTTTGTATTGCAGTTACTGCACAACATTAATGCATGAATTTACTGCACATCCGGTAATAATCATTGCCCTTTTGTCAAAATTATTTCTCTTCTCATTCACTTGAAATATTTATTTTTTTAGTTTTCTTTTGTGTTTTTTTTTTAATTTTATGCCTAAATAATTATAATGCATATCATGAAGATATTACTGATCTGTGTTAATGCAATATTGGTCATAATCACTGCACAACAAAAAATTTCAATGCATTCATTCACTGTCATGTTCAAAATGTCTATTATCATATATATTCACTGCTCATACTCAATACTTATTAAACTGTCGATGTTCAATGCACGTATTTAATGCCCATAAACCCTAATTTTAGAAGCTCCAAATTTTAAAAATTTGAAAAGCAAAAAGAAGAATTGATGGCCAGAGCAATTAGTGAATTATCATGCGCTGTAACAACTAGCAGTGGCCTTCGCATTCATCGCATTCAAAAATTGCAACAAACCCATGATGTAACAGGCCCATCTTTTATGTAACTCCAAGCCCATCTTCACATTATTAACATGCGCCGCACTCCCCCCATGGCCTCTTTGCTAGGTTTCGAACACTTTCCAGCGGTAGATGTAGAAGAGGATGGTAGGCGGAGGCACCCATGGATTGGGATGACGGTGGGCAGCGGGAGGCGGGCCATGGGGTGGTGTGCTCCTAGATGCCGATCATGCTCCTGAACGGCTAGCCATGGGCGGCGTGCTCCTGGCCGGAGGGTTATTGTGTTCCTGGATGGCGGGGCATGGGCGGTGTGCTCCTGGACGGCGATGCAAGCGGCTGGATGCATTTGGCCGACGATTGTTCTCTTGAACGGCAGCTGACGGCGGGTCATGGGGCAGCGGCGGCGGCTGGGGGGTGCAGCGGCAGGCAGATGGATCTTTGGAGGTGGAAAATTGAGGCTAGGGTTGGAGAAAATAGTAGGAGCTTATGGTTTTATAGATATAACCTAAAGGGTATATTTGTCCAGCTATATTATTTATTTAATTAATTATTACGAATTTAATTGAATATTAGTATCTACTATAATATAAAAGCAAAATCTATGAAAACACTGTTTTTTCAACAGTGTTCCCGCCCATATTCCTAAGGCAAGAATCCACAAGAAGAAATTACATTAATAGCCCTGTGAAATAGCCTCTGTGAAGGGTAAAATTGCACAACATTAAATAATGATTATACTTTGAACAGTTGAGCCGTTATTGACAGTTAGCCATTGCCAAAAAGTAAAAAGTTATACACAATCTACAGTATAAAGTTGAATGATATACATCATATACAGTAGAATTAAACAGTAAAAAGAAAATAGTGATGGATCTTTGAGCATCTTCAACATTTCAGCCTGCCTCGGAAGCCGCCGGTCTATCTTGAGTCTATCTTGAGGCATGCGGACACACATCTCCATAAAAAATAAGGAGTATTAAATCTGAAAAAAAGGGAAAAAAATATCAGTTCATAATTCAGCCAGGCTGTCTCTTGGGAAGCGTGAACCTTCTTCAGGAAGGATTGTTCATTTTTCCCTATAAATACTAGAAACCTCATTGCAAAACAACACCACTCACACCTTCTACCTCGCCATCATTTTCTTTTTGGGAAGATCATCCACTTCCCCATCAATTCTTCACTCTTCAACCTCTTCTCTTTCTCTCTTAATTATCAGCCTGCAATACGAAAGAGTATCATTCCAAGTAGTTCTTCTCTTAATTAGATATCTAAAGTACAATATTTTGCTTTAAATGAATATTGATATTGATTGTTTGTTTGAAAATTGTGTAACTATCTAACATACATCAGTTGAATGAACTACTATGTTATTTATCTTTCAAGTGAAAAATAAACATGAGATGCTAAGAACAACAAAAAGGTATAAATGCAACTACATGTGAGTGATCTGTGAACCGATTATTTGCTTAGAATTAGGATACAAAAACAAATGGAGTACTACTTAGTCTTAATTTAGAGATTGATATGTAGATGTTCTAATTCAAGGATAAAGAAATACTACTAAATAGTTAAACTATAACTATAATTTAGTATTGTTCATTGTATACTCAGATATGTTTAAACTATAACTAAATCCACAACGATTAAGATTTATCCATTTTATAAGCTGTGTTTCTTTAGTTGTATAGTTAACATTTGTCTTTGATGTATAACATTAATTTAGCTATAAATACTAGAAACCTGACTTCCAGAATACCTTCGGTTCTTTTGCTTCTTCTCTTTCAAAGTTTTAAGCATAAGCCAGGATATTATCTATGGATACACAGACACACATGTATGTATGTAATGAATGGAAAGTATAGCAGTATATACTATCGGAAGGAGGAAAGCCAATCGGCATTCAACTTTACAAGTATAAGCCAAAGAAGAAAAATTGTAGATCTAATGTATGTTCTTTGATTTTACAAAATAGCAAGCTTCTAAGCAGCAATGGGTCTCTCCACGGAATACGGTCATACAGAATGGTTTTTTTAGCTCATGAAAAAACAAACATACGGCTTATATCCTAAACTCATTTTTTATTTACACTTATACTAAATTGATTAACGATAATAATAAATTGTTTTTCTGCTATATTTTATATGTTTCATAGATTATAACTAATTATAGACAGTGGAAATGGAAGGAGTTGTCCTAAATAAAATTACATAAGAAGGTATTCCACTCTATGCCTTGAAAATACAACAAGTTTGTTCAATTGAAAAGATTACCATGTGAAGTCATATGTTGACAATAATGTGAACATAAACTATTTGAAGTTAAAACTTAAGTTAAACTGTTGAATCCATTTAAACATTTAAAAAGGCACAAATTCAGAAACAAATTTACATTCAAATCAAGCTATTTTCAACAATTTCACTTAATTAATTAGAGAACTATAATTCTAATTGTTTACAAATATCAAATAGTGATAGTTTTACCTAAGCAATAAAAGCAAAACAGATGAATGAACTATAAGAACATTCTTTACTTACATCACATGCCACGTGCCCATCAAATGCTCTTATCACTTGAAGATTATTACCGTTTTCAAAATAACTAATGAACCTGCAAGAAAAGTGAATAGATTTCCATGACATTT